CATCTGTTAATGAGAGTAACACTCCTGGGGTGCCTGCTTAACAGAGGGTTACTTTGAAAATCAAATATTATCATGTGATAGTAGTTTATAAATTTCTCAACCTATCTGAACGTAGGTAGCAAGTCTTGTACCACTAGGACTGGGCAGGTAAAAGCAGAGGAAATGGAGATCTGCTTTTTGGGAAAGGGTTTAACTGAAGACTTGATAACAGATTTGCTAGACTGAGGCAGATGTAGATACATAAGTTCCTTTCCTGATAAGTCAGGCTCAAAATGCATATCTGTTTCATCAGTGTTCTCCATGTGGTATGTGTAAGATCCTAGATGAAGAATTTGTGGCAGAGTCCAAACTCATTTAGCTCAGTATCCATGGCCCTTTATAATTTGGTCTCAACTTCAATCTCTTTACCTCATTCCCTGGCATTTCCTTTTCTTGTCTCTCTCATCACCCAGTATCTTTTTCCAGAGAGAGAGGTAAGCAGGTAAATGAACAGTTTGAGGGTGTATTCTTTTATTTTTTTTCTGTCTTACACAGACTTGTAACTCTCACATTTATATTTTTATTCAAACAAAAGCCAAATTAATCATATTATGAAGTCATATTTTCAAAAAGTCTTTACTGGATTGTATGCCCATCAACAGTCTATGAGAGTGTAAGTTTCTCTGTGTCTTCACCAGTACAGTTCTTTTTTTTATTTTTTAATCAGTTTGATAGGTATTATTTCTCATTGTTTGATAAAGAAATATTCTTCTAATAACTAGAAGAAATGGCTTTCTAAATCTTTCATACAGCCAGGAGAGGACTCAGAGTTCATTTGCCCATTTGCTTCAAAATGAAAACATAACTTTGGACTCTATTGAAATCCACTTGTCAAACATTGGGTTAGCGTTCTACTTACTTGTCTTTACAATTGCAACTTAGAAGCCACCTTGGAACCACAGCTTAGAAACCACCATCCTAAATTTGGTGTTTCTCAATCCTTTGTGTCTAAATGTATGTATGTATGTGTTCACAAACCATGTATATTAATTTGTATGTATTGAAACATTATACAGATGGAACCATTCTTTATCATTCTGCAGTTTATATGTTTTCTGTCTTTTTAAACTTTTTATTTTATATTGGAATATAGTGGGTGAAACTGTTGTGTTAGTTTCAGGTGTACAGCAGATTGATTCAGTTATACGTGTATATAGATAGCTACTCTTTGCTGTTCAGGTTGTTACATAATATTGAGCAGAGGAGATTCTTGTTGGTTATACATTTTAAATATAACTGTGTGTACATGTCAGTCCTAAACTCCCTAGCTGTCTCTTTCCACCATGCTTCCCTGGTAACCATAAGTTCTCTATGAGCCTGTTTCTGTTTGTAAAAAAGTTTGTTTGTATTGGTTTTTTTTAGATTCTGCATAGAAGTGATATCATATTTCACTTTCTCCTTCTGACTTAATTCACTCAGTTTCTGAATCCATCCATGTTGCTGCTGCAAGTGGCATTACTTCATTCTTTTTTAATGGCTGAGTAATATTCCATTGTATTATATATACCACATCTTCTTTATCCAGTCCTCCATCGTTGAACACTTAGGTTTCTTCAATGTCTTGGCTATTGTAAGCAGTACTGAAATCGGGGTGCATGTGTTCTTTTGGATTCTAATGCATGCCCAAGAGTGGGGTTGTAGGATCTTATGGTTAGCCCTGTTTTTAGTTTTTTAAGGAATCTTTATACTATTCTCTATAGTGGCTCTACCAGTTTACATTCCCACCAACAGTGTAGGAGAGTTTCCTTCTCTCCGCACCCTCTCCAGCATTTATTGTTTGTGGATTTTTTGATGGTAACAATTCTGACTGATGTGAGGTGATATCTCAATGTAGTTTTGATTTTCAGTTCTCTAATAATTAGTGATGTTGAACATCTTTTCATGTGCCTCATGACCATTTTCGTATCTTCTTTGGAGAAATGTCTATTTAGGTCTTATACCCTTTTTGATTGAGTTGTTTTGATAATATTGAGCCCCATGAACTATTTGTAAATTTTGGAAACTAATCCCTTGTTGGTCACGTCATTTGCAAATATTTTCTCCAATTCTGTGGGTTGTCTTTTTGTTTTGTTTATGGTTTCCTTTGTTATGCAAAAGATTTTACATTTTATTAGGTCCCATTTGTTCATTTTTGTTTTTATTTCCATTACTCTTGGGGGATGGATCGAAGAAGATATTGCTGCGATTTGTGTCAGAAAGTGTTCTTCCTATGTGTTCCTGTAAGAGTTTTATAGTGTCTGGTCTCACATTTAGGTCTTTCATTCATTTTGTGCTTGTTTTTCTGTATGTTAAAGAATGTTCTAATTTCATTTTTTTTACATCTATTGAATAGCTATCCATTTACATTTAAAGTAATCATCAATATGTATATTCCTATTACCATTTTCTTACTTGTTTTGGGTTTGTTTTTAATAGGCCTTTTTTCTTACCTTCCTCTTTTGTTCTCTTCTCTTTCAGTTTGATGACAATTTTTAATTTTTAGTGTGTTTGGACTGCTTTTTCTTTTTGGTCTGTTTATCGTGGTTTTGGGATTTGTTGTTCCCATGAGGTTTTGATATAGTAGTCTAATATATGTGCACGGTTGTTTTAAGTTTGCTGGTCTGTTTCCCACCTAGAAAAGTTCCTTTATCATTTGTTGCAAAGCTGGTCTGGTGGTGCTGAATTCTGTTAGCTTTTGTTTGTCTGTAAAGCATTTGATGTCTCTGTCACATCTGATTGAGAGCCTTGATGGGTACAGTATTCTTTTTTTTTTTTTTTTTTTAATTTGTTTGGCTGTATCAGGTCTTAGTTGTAGGGTACAGGATCTTTAGTTGTGACATGTGGGGTCTAGATCCTTGACCAGGGATCGAACCTGGGTCCCTGCACTGGGATTGCAGAGTCTTAGCCACTGGACCATTGGGGAACTCCTAGCATATTCTTGGTTGTAGGTTTTTCCCTTTCATCACTTTAAATATGTCATGCCATACTCCCCTTGGGCCTGCAGAATTTTGCTGAGAAATCAGCTGATAACCTTACGGGAATTCACTTGTATGTTATTTATCATTTTTCACTTGTTGCTTTTTTTTTTTTCCTTTAATTACTATGTGTCTTGGCATGTTCTTCCTTGGGTTTATTCTCCCTGAGACACTCTGAGCATCCTGGACTTGGGTGACTGCTTCCTTTCCCATGTTAGGGATGTTTTCAGCTATTATCTCTTCAGATATTTTCTCAGGTTCATTCTCTCTCTATTCTCCTTCTGGAACCCCTATAATGTGAATGTTGGTGCATTTACTGTTGTCCCAGAGGTCTCTCAGTCTGTCTTCACTTCTTTTTATTCTTATTTTTTCTTTTCCATGACAGTGATTTCCACCATTCTGTCTTCCATGTCACTTAATCTGTTCTTCTACTTCAGTTATTCAGCTGTAGATTCCTTCTAGTGTATTTTTCATTTCAGTTATTGTATTGTTTATCTGTTTGTTCTTTAGTTCTTCTTGTTCAGTCGCCAAGTAATGTCTAACTCTCTGCAACCCCATGGACTGCAGCCCTCCAGGCTTCCCTGTCCTTTACTAACCAGTCTGTCTTCTTTTATCTACCTTTCAGAATATTCTGCTAGTTGCTTCATGTGTTTTGTTAGGGTTTTAAGTTACAATTAATGTGAAAAGCAGAGTATTTTTCTAACTTGTATGGAATTATTATTATTCTAACTTGTATGGAATCAGAAGCCTTTTATTGTAATTTAAGATTCAGTATTGTAAAGCTTTCACATATGCATTTAAGGTAAGACTAAGGAATATATTTAGTATATATGGCTTATTGATGTGTTTTTCTGAGTGAATAATTATTAAATGTGATGATCATCATTCTAGTCTTATACCAAGAATAGATCTTATTAGCCTAGTGTTGTCTTACTTCCATCTCCCCTTGTATTTTCAACCTTTGTGAGTCTTTTTGGTTAGTCATTTTTACCAGTGAACTTTGTCTCTTTCTAAGAACCCTTAATCCTTCTCACTTTTAACTGAAAAAGCTACCTTTTCAGTTCCTAGAATATAGGCTTCATGGAGATGGCTCTGTTATTGTTTCTCAAAAGGGGTCCTTAGAGCCCCTTGCCTGATTTATTTGCTGTTTGCCATACATATTTCAATCTTGTTTCTTTACTCCACTGCTCTCCATTCTCTCATTATTGCCTTTCAGGTCTTTTCTTTTGCTGAAACTATTTGTTAATTAGCTGCAGATACAGCAGTTTTACTGTAGTAGTTAGGCATATATAGGCAGTATACCGCCATTTTGGAATCTTAGTTCCATTACTTTGCCAAGATCACAAAGCTGGTTATTTAAGGATATTTCTGTGCCTCAGTTGTCCCTGTGTATAAGATGGGGGTAAGGATTTATCTCATAGGGCTGACATAGAGTTAATGTTTGTAAATTCCTTGCAGTGATATTTGTTCATAGAAAGCACTTAGACATTAGCTGCTGTGGTGATTTCTCCCATGTTTCATCACTTTAGAATTTTGCACTTTGATTACTTGTTCCTATCTTACCTCTTCCTGTTAGATTGTAAATTCCTCAAAGTTAGAGCCTGTTTTATGAATTTTTATAGTTTTTTAATGGGTTTTGCAAAGTAGAATGTGTTCAATAAATATTTACTGTTTCAAATCATAGGAAAATAGCAAAATTGTCACTAAAATTGTTTGCAGCACCAATTTACTTAATATAAACTATAACCTAAAGTAATTTAATACTCTCTCTGTATTATATTTCAGGAATTCTAATGAATCATTGATTGACCAGCACCATTTTACCAGTTGGAATGAGTTATCAGAAATGGGCATAGTGGTTTTAGATCCAGCATGTAACAGATGGAGATTACTTCTTCAAGCCAACGCCTTTTTTGACTGTGTAGGATCTTTGTCTCTTCATCTTTGAATTTCTTTTGTTGGTAAATAAAAGGAGTTCATGTAGTTTTTGCCCTAGCTTGAGTCACCATGAGTAGTAGTTTAGGAAAAGAAAAAGACTCTAAAGAGAAAGATCCCAAAGCACCATCAGCCAAGGAAAGAGAAAAGGAGGCAAAAGCCTCTGGAGGTTTTGGGAAAGAGAGCAAAGAAAAAGAACCTAAGACCAAAGGGAAAGATGCCAAAGATGGAAAGAAGGACTCCAGTGCTGCCCAGCCAGGGGTGGCTTTTTCGGTTGATAATACGATCAAACGGCCAAATCCAGCACCTGGGACTAGAAAAAAATCTAGCAATGCAGAGGTGATTAAAGAGCTCAACAAATGCCGGGAAGAGAACTCAATGCGTTTGGACTTATCCAAGAGGTCTATACACATATTGCCGTCATCAATCAAGGAGTTGACTCAATTAACAGAACTTTATTTATATAGCAACAAATTACAGTCCCTCCCAGCGGAAGTGGGTTGTCTAGTAAATCTCATGACACTGGCTCTAAGTGAAAATTCACTTACCAGTTTGCCTGACTCTCTTGATAACTTGAAGAAGCTGCGGATGCTTGATTTACGGCATAATAAACTGAGAGAAATTCCTTCAGTGGTGTATAGGCTAGATTCTCTCACCACTCTTTACCTTCGCTTTAATCGTATAACTACTGTGGAAAAAGACATCAAAAACCTGTCAAAACTCAGCATGCTTAGCATTCGAGAGAACAAAATCAAACAACTACCTGCTGAAATTGGTAAGAGGCCTTACATTACTTTCATTATTTATAGTATTTATTATGCTAAATAGTTTTGATGATTCTTTTCCATATCAGAAAGTGTCTGATAACTTGCCTAAAAAAAAAAAAAAAACTAGTTAGTTTCTAGGTTCTGTCTTTAGCTTGCTTTAATCTGTTTTGTGATATTAATAGTCCACGGTTTGAGATCACTTTATAGACCTCAAAGATGACTTAAAATGTAAATGCAATTGGGCCTTTTTCACACAAAACTAATCTACTTTCATTTTCATTGGGAAATAGTAAATTTGAAGCAGAAAAAAATTTTTGCCAAAGTTTTTAGTTGTTACCACCTGCTTTTAAAGTAATTACAGATAGCATTATGTAAGATGCTTTAAGGCTATATTTGCCCATTCTCTGACATTCTCTTTTTTCCCTGAAAATGTTTGTTTAAATTCACACCATTTTTCTACGTAATTTACCACAAAAGATTGGCATATAAGAGCCTTGTGAAGAAGCTGGGTGGTAAGCAAGTTGAAAAAATTTTTTCATTTTGAAAGTACTTACATGTTCATTAAAAACAATCTGAGGATGCCGAAAAGTACGGAGGCAGCTGTAGTTAATGTAACACTTAGTATTTTGATAGCTTTCATTCTTATTTTTACACCTAAAGCTATATGTACTAAAAAAAGGGGGAATGCTTTTAAAAGAATGGATAGTAGGATAAAAAATAGGAAATATACATGTGTAAACAAGTCAGTAAAAGTTACTTGTTTGATATTTTTAATTAAAAAAAAATTTTCAGCAACTTTTGTAATATAGTAAGCCATTGATTTACCAGATTTGAGAAATTGATAAAGGTGTTGTCTTTGTAGGCCCTTTTTATGAGAGTTCAAAAAATTGACATAAAAATTGATTATGCAACTTTTAAAGATAAGTTTCTTTTTTGTGGATGAAAGATTTATTCTGAATAAAACAGGTTTTATTTATTTTTTTTTATTTTATTATTTTTTAATTTATTGTTTTAAATGTTGGTCTTATCATGAGTGATAAAGGAAACTTTGTTTTTAGGCTGTGCAGCTTTGTAGAGATATAATACTCTGTGGGCATTTTAAAAATTTTTGTTTAGCTTTGAAAAAAATGTAATTTATATTTTAGGTATGGTGTTCTATTATATTTAGTTCTAACCAGACACCTAAAATCTTAGTTTAACTTTGGTTTAATTAAATATATTTAGAAATCCATGGTCGATTTTCTCAAGCAGTGTACTTGTATTTATAAAGTGTGACACACTTATGAGATATTAAAAAACTCCTGAAAATTTGAGTGGAAATGCTTCTTTCCATGTTTTCAGATAGGAATGTGATTGTTGAATGACTTTTGATTCTGTACTCGATTCGATCAAAATTTGACCTGTTTATGTGATTCATTGTAGAATAGAATTATAAGTTTTGGGGGCAGGTAATGCTGAATTTTTAGGTAGAAATATAAAATGTTATTTGCTGTCTTTGTACTTACTGTTGTTTTGTGCATGTTACACGTCATTCTAAAATGTTGACTTTCATTCATATGAGAGATTTTCATTAAGGACTTTCTGTAGAAACGTTACCAAATTACCTGGGAATTAAGAACATTCATTTCGTAAACAGGAAATTATTTCATAGGACTTTAAGTTTACTTCACTTTGGTTTTAAGCATACGGATAAAACATTTTTACTATAATGTATTTTTTAAAATTGGCAAATTTTATTTAACTAGAATGTTGATTTTTGTGGCTGCCTACTCTTTGGACCTTTATTTCTAAATTTGCAATTGAAAAAAATAACCACTGAATTTGTTTTTTAATGAGTACCCCCAACCATTAGTGACATTGAATTTTGTGTTTTTTAAATTTCTGTGTCTATAAAAATAGTAACTTATATTCCAGGAAGGGCATCAGATAGAAAGTAAACTGCTTTAAAAAATAAAATAATATTTTTAAAGAAATTAAAATTAATAAGGTTTAACTTAGATGCGTGGATTTGGGACAAACCTTGCAGACATCTGCATTATGTACTTCCTTGTGGGAACAAGAAAATAAAGATCTAATAAAAATAAAATAATTGTAATAATAAGAATAGCTGTTGTTTGAGCACAGTATGTCGTATAACATACACTTTTTTAATGTAACTTTATATCTGTTATCTCATTAAATTCTAATAGTAATCCAGTGAAATAAGTACTTTTCTCTTAAACTGAAAACTTAGTGAGATTAGATAATTTACTAAAGGTCACATAGGTAAGAAGTTGGCAAAGTCACAGTTTGACTCTAGGTCTCACTATACTGCTTCCAGTGTCTAGAAGAGTGGATACCTGCTGAGTAGCTCAGTCGTGTCTGTCTCTGCAGCCTCATGGACTGCAGCACACCAGGCTTCCCTGTCCTTCACTATCTCCTAGAATTATGTCCATTGAGTTGGTGATGCCATCCAACCACCTCATCCTCTGTTGTGCCCTTCTTCTCCTTCCCTCAATCCCTCCCAACATCAGGGTCTTTCCCAATTGAGTCAGCTCTTTATGTCAGGTGGCCAAAGTATTGGAGCTTCAGCTTCAGCATCAGTCCTTCCAATGAATATTCAGCGTTGATTTCCTTTAGGATTGACTGGTTTGATCCTCTTGCAGTCCAAGGGACTCAGGAATCTTCTCCAGCACCCCAATTGGAAAGCATTAGTTTTTCAGTGCTTAGCCTTCTTTATGGTCCAGTGCTCACATCCATACATGACTACTGGAAAAATCATACCGTTGATTATATGGATCTTTGTCGGCAAAGTGATATCTCTGCTTTTAATGTGCTGTCTAGCTTTGTCATAGTTTTCCTGCCAAGGAGCAAGCATCTTTTAATTTTGTGGCTGCAGTCACCATCTGCAGTGATTTTGTAGCCCAAGAAAATAAAATCTGTCACTGCTTTCCACTTTTTCCCCTTCTATTTGCCATGAAGTGTTGGAACCAGATGCCATGATCTTAGTTTTCTGAATGTGGAGGTTTATTGAGTGTTGAGTTTTAAGGCAGCCTTTTCACTCCTCTTTCACCCTCAAGAGGCTCTTTGGTAACTCTTTGCTTTCTGTCATTAGAGTGGTATCATCTGCATATTCTGATGTGGTTGATATTTCTCCTGGCAGTCTCGATTCCACCTTGGGATACATCCAAGCATTTCCCATGATGTACTCTGCATATAAGTTAAATAAGCAGAGTGACAATATACAGCCTTGACACACTCCTTTCCCAATTTGGACTAGTCCATAGTTCCATCTCTGGTTCTGTTGCTTCTTGACTTTCATATAGGTTTCTCAGGAGACATATATGGTGGTCTGGTATTCACATGTCTTTAAGAATTTTTTATAGTTGTGATTCACACAGTGAAAGCTTTAGTCTGTGAAGCAGAAGTGGATGCTTTTCTGGAATTCCTTGCTTTTTCTATGATCCAATGGATATTGGCAATTTGATCTCTGGTTCCTCTGCCTTTTCTAAATCCTGCTTATACATCTGGAAGTTCTCAGTTCATGTACTGCAGAAGCTTAGCTTGAAAGATTTTGAGCATAACCTTAGTATTACTAGCATGTGAAATGAGTGCAATTGTATGGTGGTTTGAACATTCTTTGGCATTGCCCTTCTTTTGGATTGAAATGAAAGCTGACCTTCTCCAATCCTGTGGCCACTGCTGAGTTTTCCAAATTTGCTGACACGTTGACAGATTAATAGCTTAATTCAGATATAATTCACATAGCATATGATTAATGCATTTGAAGAATACAATTCAGTGGTATTTTAGCATATTCACAAAGTTGTTCACTATCACAGACAATTATAGGACATTTTCATCACTCCAGAGAGAAACTCTGTACTCTTTGGCAATCACCCCACCCCAGCCCTGTTTTCTTTCAACCCCTTAGTCCTATTCAAGCATTAATCTACTTTCTGTTTCTGTAGATTTGCTTGTTGTGGTGTGTGCATGCTAAGTTGCTTCAGTCATGTCCAATTATTTGTGATCCTGTGGACTGTAGCCTGCCAGGCTCCTCTGTCCATGGAATTCTCCAGTTCTAATAATTGGAATAATAAAATATATAGTCTTTGGTGAGTGGCTTCTTTCACATAGCAAAATGTTTTCAAAATTCATCCAGATTGTATCATCTATCAATATATTGTTCCTTTTTATTGCTGAATAATATTCCATTGTATATTATACCACATTTTATTTATCTACTCATCAGTTGTTGAACATTTGGGTTGTTTTCACCTTTTGACTGTTAGGAATAAGATTACTATGAACATTTGTGTACAAGTTTTTGTGTAGACATTTGTTTTCATTTCTCTTGGGTGTATACCTAGAAGAGGAATTACTGAGTCATATGGTAACTATGTTTAATCTTTTGAGGAACTACTAGACTATTTTCTTAAGTTACTGCACCATCTTACATTTCCATCAGCAGTGTATGAGGGTTCCAATTCCTCTATATCCTCAACACTCTTGTGTTAGCTATTTTAATGTAGCCATTCCATGTGAAGTGGTATCTCATATGTTTTTTATTTATAGTTCTGTGATTATTGATTTGTTTTTAATTTTTGAAAGCTATCTTTTGTTATAAAGGAAAGACAGAAATAGTTGTTTTCTGTGATACAGATCTTGCTTTACTGCTTTTTAAATTACAACCCTCCCCAGCCCCCTGCAAATCCTGAGCTCTTTTAAGAATGCTTATAAAAAAGACTCATGCACCAAGATCAAATAAAATGGAATTTGACATTTTGAAAAGTTCTGCATCTTTAATGTAATTTGACTTACTGTTGAAACTCATAACAAGAGAATTCACAGTTCATTATATATACTAATTACCATTTGTTAAACTTCCATTTTTAGATGTTTAGATCTTCATTATTTCATATATATATATATATATATACATATATATATATGTTGCTTATTCTTCTCTGTTGTTTTTATGAGTATAAAAACCTTGAATCGTACCATCCAGTTTGTTCAGTATATTTGA